GCCTGGCAAGTCTATAGGTCTGCAGGACTGTGCGTGTTGCTCTGAAGGGTAAGGGGAGGAGGAGGAGGAGGAAAAAGAGGAGCGAGAGGAGAGGAGGGGGCGGCCCTGACATCCGATGCCTCGGTTGTTCCACTTGACAGGGCCCGTGGTCTTGCTCTCGGCCCCTTTTCCCAGGCGCGTTTATGCTCGCCCCGCGCTTGTTTATAAGACCGTCCTGGAATATGGGTAGGCGTATTGTCCTTTGCCTTCGGCAATTTCACTTCCGCGGAACGGGGGGGAGGTAGCGATCCCGAAAATATATCTGGACTTCACGTAAGTCGGGATGCACTTGCACGCCTTTTCGGCCCAGCGTTGTTCGAAAAGTCAGCGGAGGGGGAGGGGGGTAGGGAGAACAATTGCCATGTAAGTGAACTTTCCTGGGTCCAAACAAATGTTACCCCCCCCCCAGAGTCCCAGAGCCCTAGAACTGCCACGCGAGCAGAGTCCAGAGTCCCAGAGCAAAGGTGGTCGGCCCTGGGTTCCCCGTGTGAGCATCTCGTTTCAAGGCCCAAGTGATAATGTGTTCAAATGGGCAAGTCTGAGAATGAGCGGGGTTAAATCCAGCTGACTGGGTACGGCTGATCATGAATGTTAGCGGGCCTAGACATGTCAGGGTCTCCCTTGCCGGCCCTCCCCTGGGTGCGGTGGTCATGGGGGCCCCAGGAAAAAAAGGGACGAGGAAACACATACCAGCGTCTGGTTTACGTCTGGCTTAAGCAATCCCCACAAGCTGGGAGCGAAGGGGACCGTGCAATCCCCTCTGGCGGCTCCCCCGTGGGCTTTCCAGGTGCAACGTCTGCTGCATCGTTGTAGCCATGGGGGTCTCAGGAGATAAGCTGGGGAAGCCACAGAGCAGCGTTTCGCTCGAGAAGTCCCCAAGGATCTGGGCGCGAACGGGTCCGTGTAACACCCCCTGGCGGCACCCCCTTGGAATGCCCGCTCGCTATGTCGGCTGCATCGCGGTGGTCATGGGGCTCTCAACAAGAAGACAAGCCCTACGCAACGCTTCGCCGGAAAGAGCCACGCAGTCTGAACGCGAGCGGGTCCGTGTACAGCCCCCTGGCGGCTCCCCCCTGGAGATACGCAAGAGCCATGCCTGCTGCATCGCGAAGATCATGAGCCAAGGAGCCAGAGTATAGGCGGCGAATCTGAATGTAAGTGAGCCGGGGGGGGGACTGAGTCTGAGAATCTGAGGGTCCGAGTGCGAGCCGTCCTGCGTGCGAACGAGTCTGGTCGTGAGTTAGCCTGAGTGCGAATGAATACGCGTGTGAGCGAGTCTGACCGCGAGTGAGTCGGATCACAAGTTCGCGAGAGTGTGCGAGAGAATCAGGTGTGACTGAGTCTGAATGTGAGTGGGTCTGAGTGTGCGAGAATGTGAGGCCTGGGCGTGAGTGAGGGTATGGCTGTGGGTGTGTGTATGCGTATTAGAGTGCATATGCGTATGCGTCTTGCGTATGCGTACGTGTATGCGAATGCGAATGCGTGTGCGTGTGCGTATGCGTATGCGTATGCGTATGCGTATGCCTATGCGTATGCGTATGCGTGTGCGTGTACGTGTGCGTGTGCGTGTGCGTGTGCGTTTGCGTGTGCGTGTGCGTGTGCGTGTGCGTGTGCGTGTGCGTGTGCGTTTGCGTGTGCGTGTGTGCATGTGCGTGTGCGTGTGCGTGTGCGTGTGCGTGTGCGTGTGCGTGTGTGCGTGTGCGTGTGTGCGTGTGTGCGTGTGCGTGTGTGTGTGTGTGTGCGTGTGCGGGTGCGTGTGAGTGTGCGTGTGTGCGTGTGCGTGTGTGCGTGTGCGTGTGTGCGTGTGTGCGTGTGTGCGTGTGTGCGTGTATGCGTGTGTGCGTGCGCGTGTGCGTGTGCGTGTGCGTGTGCGTGTGCGTGTGCGTGTGCGTGTGCGTGTGCGTGTGCGTGTGTGTGTGTGCGTGTGTGTGTGTGTGTGTGAGTGAAAGAGAGTTTGTGAGGGCGTGGATCTGTTCGAACCCATGATCCAAAACATCAGAACTAAAGGCACCTGGCACAGCTTCCCCAAATGATTCTTAAAACAAGCCTGGGCCAACTTTTTGGGTTAATGGTGCAGGGGCGAACGCGCTTAAGAAGCTGGGCCAGCTGTCCTGCAAGTTGGTCAAGACACGCCGGCCTAGCTTTTTAGGAAGACGGTTCTTAATCATATGCTCGGCCGTAGCTGTTTCATTCACACGAAGCGCGCCCTTCAACAAACCCCTCACACCTCACACATCAGCCCGCAATGCGAAACACCCGCGCGAAGAATTCTGGAGCCGAGCGCCAAGACGGAGACTGAGCACGAGGAGTGCTCCTGCCAAGCGTAAGCTTCCCAGACCCCTTCGAGATTTGGCCAGGACGTTTAATCCAGCGCGGCCACGCGTACGCACACATGCTGTCTCACCCTGTCATCTGACGGGTCACCACCTGTGGCACGGCCCCTGAGCTGTCCGTGGGGGGCTCCTGAGGGCAGACTCGCTCCGCCGAGCAAGCTCGTCGTTCGCCCGCGCTGGGGCGACTGCTGCGCCATCGGGTATACAAACTATAGACTGCACCCTGTCCAGCGGGCTTGATGCCAACAGACAGCGGACGGGTCCATCCTGCATGTGCAACCATGCTGGTGACCCGTTGTACACAGCAGCGTACGGCAGAGCCACGCATGTCTACGCAATAAAGAGCTGGAAGAAGGCCATCCTGCATGTTACCATGCCTAATGCGTATATTCTACACACAGCAAGCTGCGGAGAGCCACGCAGAACCATGTATGCGCAGTCACTAAATACATAGCCAGCGCCAGCACGAGCGGGGAACCGGTGGAGAATGCACGGCAGTGCAAGGGGAGAGAGAAAAAGAGAACGAGAGAGAGAGAGAGGGAAAGAGGCAAAAAAGAGAGAGGCGGTGATGAAGGAATATATACAGAGAGAGAGAGAGAGAATGAGAGAGAACAACAAGCAAACACGTAAAAAAGAGCGGAGCGGCAAGCGGAAAGAAGTGAAGTGGGGAGGAGGGGATGAAAGAAAAGCAGAGCAAACAGGCGTGGAATCAAAAGACGGGGGGGAGAATGGAAGCCGAGAGACAGAAACTAACCTCGCACTGCCTCGAAGGGGCAGCCCCTTTCTGACACGTCCCGTTTAGCTGCTTGACCTCGTCATCTGAGCTCCCTCCTCGACCCCTTTCAGTGGCCGGGCGCGGCCTTACCGACCCCTAGCAAACCAGCCCCTTCTGTGACGCCACTCTCGCCTTTCGAGCGTCCTTCCTGCCGCATGCACGCGCCTTGGGGCGAGGCGAGGGGGACGTCACGGAAGGGAATGGTTTGCCAGGGGTCGGTTAGGCCGCTCCTGAAGTGAAGCCACGGCGAGAGCGCAATTTTGAAAACCACCCGCCGCCCCACTCGATCCGGCGGAGATGTTCGAACCATCATCAACCAGGGACCGAAATTCGACTTGACAATTTCCTCAAGGTGTGCACAGATATTGGATGTGAGAAATGTCTGCTCTTGCCAGGTCTGGAATTTCCTGAGGAGGGCGGGTCGAGGATCGGCTTCCAGAGGCCTGCAGAAGCCATCTTGCGGCTTCCGGAGACCTCCAGAGGCCTCCCTCGGGGCCGCCTTCTGAGCACACTCGGTGTCGGAGCCCATCTGGCGGTCGAACCGAGCACGCTCGGCGGCCGCGTGGACTGGGCAGGCCCAGAGGGGGACCAGGTGAGGCAGTCCCCCAGCACACGCCCGCCCTGACGACACGCACAGTGGCGCGACGGGGGGCTGCCCGGCGAGGGAACGGCGTGGAGCAGAGAACGGACGCCTGTGCGCCTCAAGGCAACGTGTAGAGAGGACAGCGACATGGGGGAGGAAACGGGGGACACCACAAACGAGAAGAAACGGAGGTGGTGCACATGGGGGCAAGCAGAGGATCAGCTGAATTCAACTCTGATGCGTAGGACGGGAAACGTGGAGGGGCGGGATGAACGTGGAGGGGGCCGGATGAGAACCATGAGGAAGAGAAGGAGACGTCCGAGGACGAGAACGGGAAGAGGTGGGGTTAGAAGAATCAACGAGGAGTCGCACTGGCCGCGAGTGAGAAACGTAAGGAGCGAAGGAGCACGGAAGTTGAAAACATTGAACGCCATGCTCGCAGCACGGCAGGGAAGACACGACCCACCCTTTCTGCGGCTGCACCGAGCGGCCTGGCTTCCACCTTTTGTGAAACGTTGTTTTTCCTCGGCGCGCGCACAAGGAGAAAAAACTATCTTCAGTAACCTTTCGCCGTCGCCTTGGCAATTCAGCAGGACGCAGGGAACGGCTGCGGCGGCACCAGTGGATCACCATGCAGGATCAACGCCGAAATAATGGATGGGGCCACCCTTTGTGAAATCTTCTTCAGACCGATCAGATCAGATGTGGCATCGCCGAGTCGGCCAACGACACTTCCGACTCCCGAGTCGCAGAAGCGGCGGAGGGAGGGAGGAGGGAGGAGGGAGGAGGGAGGAGGGAGGAGGGAGGAGGGAGGAGGAGGGAGGAGGAGGGAGGAGGAGGGAGGAGGAGGGAGGAGGAGGGAGGAGGAGAGGAGGAGGGAGGAGGAGGAGGAGGGAGGAGGGAGGAGGGAGCCAGAAGAGGCTCCGCGGTCTCTTGTCGGCTTGAGGCACCTCACGCCGCCGCTGCAGCCCTGCCCGGTCGGACCCGAACGGGCGCTGGAGCGAACTCATCTTCGTCCTAGCGGGCGTTGCCTTCTTCGGCGCTTCGACATTGGGCGGAACGGGGGGTAGAGGGGGGGGTCCGGCTCCGGACCTCTGCTTGATGCGACTGCTTGAAACAGTGTGTCTTGTAGGGGGAGAGACTCCACCTGCTTCGAACAGGAGCCCAAAGCAGCCAACATCTACTCCATAGGGGGATTTCTGGATTTGGCTCCTCGCTGAAGCATACGGCCTGTCGAGACTGGGCGGCGCTGCAGCTAGCAGAATATTAGTCAGACTAAAAATTTCTGCACGGGCACCAAAGACACAAGGACAGTTAGTTCTCCCACCCGAGAGAAGGTGCGAGGGCCCGCGCCGAACGGCAAACAATGAATCAGAACTTGAACTGTCCTGGGCCGTCTTTCGACGGTCGCCTGAATCACCGGAGGCCCTCGCACCGTCTATCGCCGCACCTGGCCCCGCAGGGCTCAGCGGCCGCCCCTCGGCTCTGGAGGCCTACTAGATGGGGTCGGAGCAGATGGGGTCGGGGGCTCGCGCCGCATCGGCGACGCATCGGCGATGCATCGGCGATGCATCGGCGGTGCATCGGCGATGCATCGGCGGTGTACCAGCGATGCATCGGCGACCTCGGCGATGCACCGGCGACGCCCGCGTGGAGAAGGTCGGGCTCTGCATCGAGCCGCACCGCCGACACATCGGCGACGCGGCGCGATCCTCCGACCCCTATCGACTCCAGCCCCACCGCCGAGGAGCGGAGGCCGCTTCTTTCCTTCCAGGTGCGCCGTCTGGACATCGCCTTCGACGCGCCGGCGCGAGGGATGGCCGCAGGCTGTTCGGGGCGCGCCCCCTGCGCCAGCCCTAATGGATGGGGGAGGGCGCGAGCTGGCGCGGCGGCGGGGCGGAGGTGCGCCCGAGGCGAGCGCGGACCCTCGGGCGCCTGCACTAGAGGGCGGAAAATCCACCCCGATAATAACCACCCCGACACGCGAAGCCGTTTAGTAAACGCGCCCAAAGAAGGAATCAGACAAGGCAGGGCGCTTAGTAAACGCCCAGGGCCGTTTAGTAAACGCCAATTGTCCGGTCTGGGTGGTTTTTCCTCCCTGGATGCACACGTCTCTGTGATCTCAGCCGGCCCGTCCTGGATGGTGCCGCTCGGAGGCTGGCTCTGCTGCCCCGTGGCCGGACGGACTACGTGCCGCGTGCCGCCTGGCCCCAGACTGGTACAGTCCAGCTCCAGGTGCCCGGGCGCCGTGCGGCGCACTCTGGCCGAGGGGCTTCGCTTGTACCCCCGCTGCAGCTGCGCTCGAGCCGCTTGCCTGCCCAAGGGAACGCGCGGGCATGGCGTCGGCTCTGCGTGAAATGCGGGTCTGCGATTGTATCCAGCGCGGTTCAATGCGGACCAGACATTGTTTCACAATCACTAGAGACACTCGCTCCACTCTTGCGTCGGAGCTGCGTCGAACGTCCGTCGATTTGAGTCGACCCTGAGTCGAACCTGCGTCGAACTTGAGTCGCACTTGAGTCGAACTGGGGTCGAACAGATCCGTTGTGGGCCCCAGGAAGGTCCCCAGACGAGCATCTAACAATCGTGTGTGGTGCCGAAGCTAGGCGCAAGCTCGCGCACAATCGCGCATGAAATCCGGGAGCGATCTTGCGTAACATCCTAAAGGTTATGGCCCATCTTCTGCAGCCGTGGGCCCTCATGGTAGCGGCTGGGGCCTCGCCCTGTCCGATCGCGCGCTTGACGCGCGCCCGTTGCAGCGAGGCCTGGCTCGCGTTTCAGCGCCAGGCTGGCAAAGCACTGGCTGCCAGGAGTCAATCAGGTTTCCTGCCTGGGGTCGGTGCGGGCTCTGACCTCTGACCCGACCCTGGACACGTTGGGAGTCCAACTTCCCCTTGCCCTTAGCCATCTTGCGGCCTTGGACGGTGACGCGGGCAGCGCATCAATATCGACTGCTGCCACCATCACGTGCTGACCGCCAATTTGAGAGATAGCCCTGACAACGTCTGCGGGCGTATGTCCTGATTCTCTTACTGCAGGTTTCCGTGCTGGCGAACATTACTTCCGAAGTCTTCTTCTTCATACCAACACTCTATGCTTTGGATCCCCCGAGTTCGCGGCCAACCCTCAACCGGGTTGGCATTTACCTGGGTGCCAATAAGGGGGGACGGGAAGACTTCCACTTCGCATGGCTGCTCGCCTGCGCACGTGACGAAATCGCGCCCCCACCGCATATGTGATGGATCTGTGATTTCAGAAACCCGCTGCTCCCGATAACTGCGCCGAGTGCAGCGTGGTCGCGAGTGCGGCTCCACGACGTTCCCCTTCGAGGATCGTGCCCGCAGTGGAACGGAGCACATTGAAGTCCCTGGCCCGCTGCCCTTCTCAATCGCTTCGCCGAGCCCATTCTCCAGCGACTTGTGCCGCCTCGGTCTTGCGCTCCCGGTCGCGACCTTTCGCGCGCAGAGGTTGCATGTGTCCCTATTCTGGGAACAAGGAAAGGCGACACCAACACCAGCAGGGCGAGGAGGTGCGAGGAGGCAAGGGGAGTCTCCCTGGTGGTGTGGTCCCCCCCTCTCGCTCGAGACATCCCCAGCCCGCAGCTCGGGGAGGCATCGTGGACCTCCTCGCTGGAGGTGGGCCCCCTGGTGGTGTTGGTACCGCTTCTCCACCCTCCGATGCTCCCTGCATGCCTACCAAGGCTTAGGGAGCAAAGCTGCGCGCGCTCAACCGTGACGCGACAATCGCAACACGCACCGCTACCCCCTTCCTACAAAACGCAAGTCAAGTGCCCTGGCGTCTGCTTGGCAAAGGGGCACCGCCGGCAGGGGTCGGCCGGGCCCCTGGACCTCGGCTGCTTGACTTCGGGACGGGATCGGCTCGCCTCGTCGCCCCGCAGAGAGTGGGACACTCTGCGAGCACAGATAACGCGGCCTCTGAGGCTACGCAGACCCCAACAGGACCCCAAAAGAGGTAACTCGAATCGGCCTCTCGTGCCCTCCCCCCCAAGAGGGACCCCGATACCGCCAGCAGGCGCACAAGAGTCCTGCAGGAGGCCTCAACTAGGCCCAGAAGAAGCCTTCACACGCTCACGAGAGGTGTGTCCCCACGAAGCCTGCCCGACTCCGAGGGTCCCGAGAGACCCCCACCAGCCCTACGAGAGCCGTACTTATGGGCCCTTGTATTCAAGCCCGAGAGATCAGCACGGGTTTCACGATCGTCGTCGCGAGCTCTGTCTTCTGGGGGCCGGCTGAATGCAGTAGGCCTCTTTCTTTTCTCCAGGCAAGCTGAGGTGGAGTAGCTGTTGAGGTCGGTTGGTCTGTCGGTGTCTGGGCAGGTGCAGGGCAGCTCTTTCGCCCTCGCTCGTGTCCGCGAGGCCTGCCCGAACTTGAGTGCGTGCAGCTTGGCACCCGGGCGCTTTGGGGGGCTCTGGCGTGTGTGGGTAGACCGCTGCGCCCAGATGCTATGCCTGCTACGGTCGGGAACTTTTGCTGAACGCGTGGCCGCGGCGGCCCCGCCGACACGCCATGCCCTGCGAGCGGATAGCGAGTCGCTCCAGGCCCGCGGCTCTGGAGATGATTGGCACGCATGTTCCGCCCCACGAGAACGCAGCTCGGTGATGCACACCTGAGCCTCATGAGCTTGGCCCTTTCACTACGCAGCTGCGAGGGCGCCTCTTGGGGCTCCGCGCCGCAGCGCCCCCGAATTACCTGTTAGGGGGGAGGCACGGCACGCCCCTGCGGAGGGAGACGCGGCGGTCTCCGGAGAAGCCCCACCCTCAAGGGTGAGGCCGCTGAAAAGGTCTTAAAGCACGGCACGCAGTCGTCAGTGCCGACAGTCACCCCGTGCTTCGGTTTTGCTACTGCATGGATGCCGGCCTAAGATGGCCCCCATGCCTCTGGGCCCTCTTGGCGGCCCCGTGCGCGCGACGTCGCGGAGCTCCTTCGGCGATTCAAGCGGGGTCGTCTGAGAGCGGCCCCGCCTCTACACAACGATGCGAACTTGGCGCCAGACCACACCGATGTGAACCTGGCATGGTGCCGCTTGGTTGGCAGTTTCAAGCACGCTGAACAATGCTCCCTGCGGCTCGAGACCCAAAGAAGACGAGAGCCCTGGATTGGCAATGCCACCCTCGAGCTGGTCAGCACTCGGTCGGAGGCCAGACTCGGCGGCGACGTCGCACGCGCCATCTCCGCCGGAGGGTCGCGGGAGATGGCCCTCGCGATCCCGGGCGCGCTTGGCCTCAAGCGGCGGCGGGCAGGACGAGCGCATGCTCAGGCGAAAGCAGGCCACGCAAGGGCTTCGCGGTCCCAGCAGTGCCTCCCCCCCTAGCTTGCAAAAAATCAGACTGCTCCGCTGAAGCGCCGACCAAAGCACTGCCCATGGGATAGGAATCTTCCAATGTTTCTGCCAACGCCCACATGCGTGCGGCGGTCAGGGGGTCACGGAAACGCTGCCATGCAGCCCAAGAACACAAAAATGAACGAGCAGTGCCGCAGCCTTCCAGCACGGGCAAGCACATTGCGATGCTGCCAATCCTGGCAAGATCGCCATGTGCCGATACGGGCATACACCTGTAGTTTGCCTGTCCATGAACGATGCGCGGCTGCGCGATGTCATAAGACTATGCGCTCGGCCAGGGCATGCTGCGTGAAGGTCACGTGCCCATCCACGTGGCATCGAGCATCGCAGATTTCAGGGATGTGCAAGCCGCCGCAGGAGACGGACGCCACGAGGTCCAAGGGGGGAGCCCCTGAGGCCTTCGGAATCAACTCAAATGTCTGGCTGGCACTGCGGTGTCAGTGCGAGTTCTGAGCATATGAATGGCTGGCTGCATTTCTTTGCCCGCGAAAATCGGGCGCAGCGCGCGTCCGCAAGCCGCGCAGAGTCCGCGGAGCTGTCCACGGCGACACGCATGTCGCAGAGGAGAGGCGGCGTCTTCACGCGCGCAGGCAATCGATCCGCCCACCCAGGGCGTGCGCTCTTATCATGAAGAGGCAAGTCGTGCGGCTTTGTACGCGCACTGCGTGCCAATGGTGAGGAAGAGGCGCGGAGGCGAGGCGGCACGAGGATGCCACGGCCACCGCTCTGTGGGTGGCAGGTGCGGGCGCTAAGTCACTCCCCTCAGCAACCATGCAACTCACGCGCGAGCCAGCGAACATGTTTAAAGTCAGGCGTGCCGTTTGAAAGCAAGTCACCGTGCGCGCAGAAACTGAGCGTTCAACTCGGTGAGGCTGAGGACGGCGTGGCCTGTGATGACACCAACGCCCCCCGCAAAAGCAAACGTGCGATTCATGCTAAGGGCGGTATGCTGCGAAAACGGCGCAAAGGATGAGAGAAGGAGCAGCAACTTGCCAGGTCCTTGGCAGGGCCATGCTCGTGAAAGTTGCTGCTCATGCTGGCGAAGCAAATGAGAAAAGGAAGAAATGAAGAAAAGGATGAGCATCGTATTCAGATGCCGAATGGGGGTCGAACAAGGGAGGGGCAAGAACAATACCATGCAAAACCATTAAGGTGAAGGAAGGAGGGCGGCTGGGGTGGGGGAGCAATGGCAGTGGAAGTGGCAGGCGAGGAGGATAGGGTGACGGAGAGTGAAGGAGGAGGGGGAGAAGAAGAAGGAGAAGGATGACAACGGGGATATAAAGAGAGGCATGAAGAAATAGAGAAAAGGGAAGAGCCGAGGATGGAGGAGGGACGGCGGAAGCAGGGGGGAGAACAGGAGAGATGCTGGAGATACGAGCAGGAAGGTCGGGGAGGATGAACACGAACAGATAAGAATGGGAACCCAAAAGGAAGAGAATGGAACGGAACATAATGGACATTCGAGGCAAGGAAGGAGGGCAGAAGAAACGGGAAGTGAGAGTCCAAGTCGTCCTGAGAAGCAAGTGGGGCTGCTCACCATCCTCCTCCTCACCATCATCCTGAACTCGTTTCCTAACTAAGCCCGCACCTTACCCCGCCTTACCACACCTGAACCGTAACCTCAACCTTGGCCATTACAATCACGATGACGAGCAGTAACCGTAAGAACAATGCACAGAACGCGATTACATCGTCTGGCATTGCATTGCTGTGGTTTGCCTTGCCTTTCTGTGCTTGCCTGGCTTACATGACATCCTTCTACGTTCACCCCCTTCCACTTTATCCTCTAACCTTGGGTTCGTCCACCGATTTCCCTTCATCCTCCTCTCCCTCATGTTCCTCGTTTCTTCCCCCCAGAACACCATTCCCACTTCCCCTATCCCACTGTTTCCCCCTCCTCCTCCTCCTCCTCCTTCTCCTCCTCCTTATCCCACTCTTCCTCCTCCTTCTCCTCCTCCTGCTCTGACTCCTTTTCCTCATCTTCTCCCCCCTGTGATCACCATTCCCATCGTCCCCTCCCTGTATTCCGCCTCCACCTCCTTCTCCTCCCCCTTCTTCCTCTTCCTCCTCCTCCTCCTCCTCCTCCTCCTCCTCCTCCTCCTCCTCCTCCTCCTCCCGAACACCCCGAACAGGCGGAACAAAAACAAAATGAAAGAGAGAGAAAGAGAGAGAGAGAGAGCGCACAGTAAATCAGTCAGAGGCAAAAGGGGATGCTGGCGCCGAGAAGCTGGCGCGGGGCCGGTCCCCCGCGAGACGGCCGGCAAGACGCGCGCAGGGCTTCGGGCAGCTGGGGAGTCGCCCAGCTCGACTCGGACACTCGCCCGCGCGCCCCTGCCGCCTAGGGGTGAGAATCCAGGAGGGGGGTGGCCAAGCGAGACACCAGCAGCCCTTGACCGGGGAGGGGGAGGGGAGCTAGTGGGACGGGGGAGGAGGAGGAGGAGGAGGAGGAGGAGGAGGAGGAGGAGGAGGAGGAGGAGGGTGATGGGAGTGGGAGGGGGAAAGGGAGGAGGAGGAGGAGGAGGAGGAAGAAGAGGAGGGGGAGGAGGTGGAGAGGGGGGAGGAGGAGGGGAGAGGACCGCACGTAGCTGCGGACAGGGTGCGTGCCAGTTACTGCGCCAGCGCGCGAAAGAAGCTGGCCAATGCTCAAGATTCCCATTGCGATTGCAGGCAGGGCAAACTGACGGGCGCAATCTGAAAGCGCGGTAACCTCTGAAAGAGACAGCAAACAAAAAAACACAATGCTTCCAGGATATCTCCCCGATTTAGCCGGTCGCCTCACAAAACCGATTCGCACAAGGACAGAGGAAGGGAGTAAGGATCGAAGAAAGGCGAAGAGGTGCAGAAGACGAGGACAGGAGAGGTAATGCGCGGCAGGAGCGGCACGAAAACAGGACGAACGGTTTCGGAAATACACGATATGTTCGGCGGCCATCTACACCGTGCGACCACGGGTGAGCTATCGCCAGGAGGACTGGCTCTCGTGAAATCGGCCATAATGCTTGGGGCGTCACCGTTTGCTGCGCAGTAGGAGGCAGGAAGTCCGACAAATTGAGGCCGCCCATAGATGAGCACGAACGGGGCCGCGGCCCCGCGAAAGCCCGCGGGGGCCGAGCGGCCGAGGAGCCGCGGACGCAGCATTTCACTGTGAGGTGTCATCCCTCTCAGCTCTTCTCTCTTAGAATCAAGTCGGGCGTGTCCCCCTATAAAGGGATTTTGGGTGAAAAATAAAACATACTCCAAAAATACCCCCAAAAATGCTCAAAAAGAGTCAAACAATCGTCCCCAGACTATTTTTTACTTCTTTTGGATATTCCTCCTGTAGAGGGACATGCCCGACTTAATCTCAGAAACCGACTTGTCTATTTGCGCGCCATTCTGGTCGCGGCCGCGAGCGTCGAGGACGCGGAGCTCGGCGTTCTGCGCGGGGTGCTCGACGCTGGGAGGCGCGGCCCTTCCGGGGACGATAACCATGCGTGGCACGCCAGGTGCGGCGCGCCCGGCCTCTCGGTCACGCGCCAATGGCTCGCGCACAGCTGGGCGGAGGCCGGGGGCCGAGGACGCAGCGCAGCCAGCGCCGCGGGGCCGGCAACGCGAGAACTGCGCCGAGCAGCTTGCAGAAAGGGGGCGCGCAGGCCATCCCGGGCTGCAGATCGATAAGAGGAGGCGCGAGCTTCTTGAGAGATCGCGAAAGAGCGGGGACCAAATGCCTTTTCCAGCTCGGAATTTCCCAAATCAGTGCTTGCACTGAAGGGGTCCTGGCGGAATTCAAGGCATTTGGCGAAAATTCCACGCCGAGTTTGGTAGCAGGCTGGGTTCCCGGGTTCCCTGGTTCCCGGTTCCGGGTTCCCGGGTTCCCGGTTCTGGGTTCCGGGCCGATTTCGGAGGGCGGCGAGGTTCCCGGGTTCGGGCGGCGAGGTTCCCGGGTTCCCGGGTTCCTGGTCGATCTTCTTATCGATCGCTCTCATACTGGTACCATTACCGACTTCTCGATCGATCTCACCATCGATCTCACAATCGATCTCACCATTAATCCCACAAGCAATCTTACTAGAGATCGCATAAGCGATCTCGCGATCGATCTCACTGTCGATCTCATTCAATCGATTCCACTCTCGGTCTCACGATCGACCTCTCAAACGTCCTCACTATCGATTGCACTATCGATACCATGATCGATCTCACAATCGATCTCAAGATCCATAGTATCAATTTTAAGCATCCACTGATTGGGTTTTCTCAGGAGTAATGTATATAGCACACCAGGCAGAACGACGCAGTGAGCCACGTGCAACCAGCAGGGCAATCTGACAAGGGGCACCCTTGTGTCGACCGAGACAGCGGAGGCCTCGAAGCGCTGTTTGGTGTCGTCTTCGTCGGGTTGCTCTTGAGCTCCGACAGGTCGCGGTGGCCCTCGGGGGCGACTTCGGCGATCGGCACAGCTCCGCGCTGCGCGATGCCCGCATGTCGCGGCGGCCTGGACTCGAAATTCTGGAGGACCTCGCCCACGAGGGTGGCGAGGCGAGCGCTCTGGAGCTCCTCGTGGACCTGCTCCGGGGACATGTCGCAGGAGACGTAGAAAAGGGGCTCTCCGCTCCGTGGGCGCCCTGGGCGGAAGAAGCTGCGCCCTTGTCCACCTGCGAGCTTGGGGGCGCGGGCTAAGGCGAGAGCGCGAGGAGTTGCGACTCCTTGGCCGCGGACGGCATAAGAGGTGACATCGGCGAGCGGTCGCGCCCCTCCGGAGGGGGCAGCGATCGGGATAGAGCTGCGCATCTTGGAACCACAGAGCTGCAGCATGACGGACGCCTGCCGGCTGAACGTTGCTGGGCGAGCCGATGGATCAGACGCAGGGGTTCGGCTGGCGGTCACAGACCGACAGAGTGGCGATGTCAATGGCGGGTTGATGCGCGTCGGCAATGGAAATTGCTGACTCCAGTCTCGTGACGGCAGCACGGATATCACGTTGTTCGGCGCCTTGCTCTTCCTGTCGGCGGCGAATGCAAACAATGTCTCCTTCGGCAGCTTCCAGACGCTGCTGATGTGGCTCGAAGATCTGTTGAATGGTGGAATGTGGGTCGGCTTGAACGTTCGCCCAGGAGGTCTCGAAGAGGTTGCAGAGATGGCGGCTGGCGAGGTTGAGCTGGGCTCGGGCCACACTTTCGATGGACGCCGCAAGGTCTGGTGGAACATTCCCGAGGCAGAAGCAAGTGGTGGTGCTGGTCGGTCCAGAAAGGTGGCAGCTGCGCCCCAGGAGGCGGTGGCTGCGGGGGTCGATGGGGTCGCAGAGGTTGGAGTAGAGCATATGGCTGATGTCCTCCATGTCGGGGAGCTGCAGACTGCTGTTGAAGCTTGCCGTGTGCTGACGCTGCACCTCGAAGTTGTTCCGAGGGACAGGTGGTGGCGAATCCCATGGCTTCTCCCCGTCTTTCGAGGATGGAAGACCGCCAGCAGTCTGCGTAGGAGGGCGGATGGGCCTGGTCCCCGGCAGAGCTTCCAGAGCGTTCCAGGACACGGCGTTGGGCACCTCGGGCCCGCGCTCCTGGCGAGCGAGGTCCGTCGATGCCGGCAGCGCGTCGCCGCGCTTGTTCGCGCCCGGGGCACCTTCCCGAGATCGCCGAGGGCCTTGTCGCCGAGGTGGGTCACGAGGGTGGGGGTCCAGGGACGGTCACGGCGTTGACAGCAACGTCGTTCACGGTGCCTGGCTTGTCGGGCACCGCAGCCGGGCACCGCTCGGAGGCTCTCCGCTGCGCCCACCGCTGCGAGGTGCTCGGGGAGTTGATCGGGAGCCCTGGTAAGAAGAGAAACAATAGTTGCTGGCACTGCGGAAGCTGAGAGAGACACAGGCTGCTGAAAGAGGACGTCTGCGTAGAAGCCGGATAGGATCCAGGCGAGAGCGCAGGCTGCAAGGATGTGGAAGGGTTCCAGGTTGCAGTGGGGAGCCTGAGGAGGATGCGGAGACGGAGGAAGGATGAGGAGGGAGACAGGGACGGAGGAGGGCGACGACGAGAGAGGAAGACGGAGTAAGCAGTCTATGAGGAGACACGCGGTGAGGGAGGAAGGGCCAGACGGGGAAAGGGGAGGGACAAAGAGGGTCGAGAAGCAACAGGAAGACGTTGGAGGAAGGTGGAGAAGGAAGGAAGATGTGAGCTGAAGGGGGAGGAGGCACAGAAGTGAAGGAGAAAGGTCAGGCGAATGAGAAGGAGAACGAAGAGGCGTAAAGAAAGATCTGGAATCTGGGGGTGCGGATTTAAGCGGAGGGGGGGGGGGGGGGCGAGGAGGAGTGGGGACGATAAAAACGCGACAAGGCAAGGGATAATTACTCGGAGGATGAGGAAGGAGGTGGGGGGGGGGGTCGGGGGCAAAAGAGGAGATATTGAAATAATATGGTATGATGATACGGGGGACCCGGGATACATGGGAAAGGGGAGCGCAGGGATGCGGAAGTGGACGACAAGAAGTCGGAGAAAGGAAGGTAGAGGCGAGAGGAGGGAGGGGAGGGGCGAGGATGGATGAGAAGCAGGGAAGGGAGGGAGGGAGGCGAAGAGGAACAAGGAGTAGGAACGAGGAGGAGGAACGAGAAGGGAGGAGGAACGAGGAGAAGGGATGGGGACGGAGGAGAAGGAGAAGGAGAAGGAGTGTCGAAGAAAGAGGACGGCGAGGAAAAGGGCCGGCGATGTCTCAACGGGCCCTCCTCTTTGGACAAAAACTGCGTTCAAAGGCCTATGGGAGACTCAGAGCTGCGCACGACTGCATTATGCCCTGCCCTGGTCGTAGCCCCTGAGACATTCCTCAGCTTGGCCGGCCGCAACGATGCGTCGTTGCAACGTTCCTGTTTCTCATCCTCCTCCTCGTTTTTCTTCCCCTTCTCCTCCTCCTCGCTTCTTATCTGAACCGTCCTTATCAGTATCCTTCTTGCTTTACCCAATCCTCATCATCCTGCGTATGCTGCTCCTTCTCGCGCTTCCCTCGTCCAAGCTTCCTCATCCCTTTCCTCCCTCTTCCTCCATCTCATCGTCCTGTTGCGTCCCTCCTCCAGCCCTGTTCTCTACTTCATCCACCCTCTGTTCCTCCTCCTCCTCTCGCTGGTCCTCATCGTAACCTCCCCATGTGTCTCCCACTGAGCTTGCCCATCCTTCCGCCCATCATCCATACCTCCTGCTCGCCCCTGCTCCCCCTTCCACGGTGACTCCTCCTCCTCCTCCTCCTCATCCACCCATGCCCCTCTTCCATGCTCCCTCCTCCCCCGTCTTCCTCATTGTCCATAGTATGTGGATTTGTGCGATGCGTGATATGTGGCATATGTTCTATGTACCGGGCATAAAACATTATAATACTTATCCGCGTGTCGGTGATATGTTTCATGTGCCCAAACTGCTAGAAGCGTAGCAAGTCGTGATGCTCATACGAGTGCCCATCAACACTAGCTCGACCAGTGTGACGAGGGGTGCTGACCCTCGTCGCGGAAGTCGTCGTACGACCTCATACGTACGTATTCCGTCGCCGGGCGCGTACACTGAGCATGCGACACGGACAGACACGCGGAGCAGCGCGGACACAGTGGACACGCGAGCTCCTGTGGAGCGTGGGCAGGGAGAACACATAGGACACTAGAGCTGCCAGAAGGCGGCGAGGAGCCAGTGGACACACACACGCAGTCCTCGGGCAGAGGATGATCGAAATCTGCAGTTTTGTTGTAGCGGCGCACGGCGGCGGAAAGATGTGCAAAATGCCGTAGCAACGCGCGGCGGCAAAAGGCTCGGGTGAAGATCATCGCTAGGCGCTGGCACGTGCATTGAACACGAACGAAGAAGAAAGCGTCAGGCGGGAGGGTACTAATTCGGTCCACTGACTTGGTACTGCCTGGAGCGGACACGTTTGTAAGGCCATATTCTCCCAAGACGGCGAGGGTGCACAGCTCAGTCGCAAAAGGCCAGGCCTGCCTGAGAGCCAAGCGTATAGCAAGCTGCTTCAGGTACTTCACGGTGTGGCCCTTTAATACCAAGAGCGGAATAGGAGCACACGCAATGTCACAAGAAAATTCATTGCCGAACTGCGGAAAAAGCAGCGCCTGCGCACTCGATGTGGTCTCGCGCTCGTCGGCAAGGTCCGAAACTGACTTGAACGGCGTATCGGACTCAGCACCGCAGTCGGCGTCGTCGTCGCCTCCAGCGTCTGACGCTCCCTCCACGGCGTCGATCGTGAAGAACACCAGGATTGGAGGCATGGAGGGGTCCTCGCTACTGTGCTGGAGTTCCGGGGGGGGGGGTCAGGCGCGAGGGCGCCAAGCCACCACTGCCTTTTTGATGGTCTCGGCTTTGGGCCGCGCCCGGGCCTTGGTTGCCAGCGGCGGGCGCACCCACGGAGCGCACTCGAACTGCACTGGTGCTCGAGGGCGATGGCGCTTCGATGCCGGGATGTGCCGCGAGCTCGGGGGCACCGCGCCCGCCGCTTGCCGCTGCTTGCGTTCCCTCCGATGGCGCCTCCTCTGGGCGGCCATCGTGGCCGAGAGCGGAGAGGCCGACCGGGGCAGAGGGCTCGCTCTGCTCGGCACCCCAGGAGCAGGTGGCGCTGGGGAGGGGCGGGGGGCCCTCTCCGGGCGGCCCTGCTGAGCCTGAGCGGGATCGCTCGCTGCTGTGAGGGCCACGTTCCGGTGCTGATGGTGATGGGCGGCTCCGGGACGGGGGCCCCCTGGACGAACCGCTCGAAGACGCTGGCGGGGGCACGAGCCGCCACTCGGAGCAGCATCTCGTCGACCTCCTCCTTGGACGTCGTGGTCGTGCGCCCATCTGGCCCATCTGGCTCCCGTTATCCGAGGAGGACACCCGCGGCGCCCCGCTCGTGGTGGCAACCCTGGCTGCCGCGAGTGGCGCTCCGCTCGATGGGAGGGGCCCGCCGGCTCCGCCTGCGGAGGGGGGCGCAAGGTGCGCGCACCGCTCGGGGGGGAGTGCTCGGCCGGCGCGCTCCCTGGAGGAGAGCCCGCCGGCCACCTCCGCCCGCGCAGGGGAGCGCGAAGTGCGTGCCGCCCGGGGCTTCAGGGCTCGAGCGGCGCTGACACCGGAGGGGGCCGCGAGTGGCGCTCTGCTCGATGGGCGGAGCCTGCCCGCTCCGCCTTCGGGGGGTGGCGCGAGGGGAGCGCCGCACTGGGCGGGGGCTCGCGCAGCGCCCTCCACTGAGGGGGGCGCGCGCCGCTCTCGATGGGAGAGGCGTGTCTGCGGCTGGGCAGCGGCGATCGGCGCAACTGCCCTCAGCGGTGCCCAAATCCCCGGAGGGCATGTCGGCGACGACGCCCTGGACCGGCGAATCCGTCTTCAGAGAGGGGCGCGAGGTGCGCACCGCTCTGGGGGAGGGCTCGGCCGTCTCCGCCTGCTGAGGGAGAGCGCGCGGTGCGATCCGCTCGTGAGGGAGACTCCAACGTCAACGCCGGCGTTGGATCCTCCTCCGAACCAAACGTCTCCGCCTGGGGAGGGGCCGAGCCAGACCTGGAAGCCCTCGGGGACGAAGACTGTGACCCATCTGCCGGGCTCAACGTTCGGGGCCATTGGACACAGACCACGGCGGTAGGGCCCTCCGCAACGCAGACATGCGAGGGTCCAGCTGGCGTAGCACTGCTGGGGCAGCGCCAGCCTCAGCAGCCGCACGTGCTGGCCGACTGCAGGCTGCCGCGCGCGCGGGGAGAGGCCCGAGGTGCGCTTGAACCACCGTGCCTTGAGCCAAAATGGCTACGGAATAGTTTATGTGTATAGATGTGCGCAGATCTGCCCCCGTGCCGCTGGGCACGGAGTGGGCGTGTCCTCAGATCCTGGGCCCAGTCCTCTGAGCCTTCATCCTCACTCGCGAGGAGTCTTCCAGGGGCCCGGACTCCAAAGTGCCGAACCTACCAGGGCTTCGCGCGTCCCGTCGGGAGCTTGCCGCGTCTTCTCGCGTGACTTCGCTGGCCCAGGAGGGTCCCCAGGTGGACCCGGAGGGCCCCGAGAGGCCCCCAAGACGACCCAAGAGGGCCCCAAGTCGCCGAACGGTCGGTCCAAGACGCCCAAGATGGCCCCAAGACGGCTCAAAGGGCCTCCAAGACGCCCTCCCGACAGGGCCCAAAGAGGCAAAACTCACTGATGTTCCTTAGGTTTTTGAAAGATGTTGGCTTCCCGACGCTCCAAGATCGCCCCAGAGGCCCCCAAGAGGGCCCCAAGAGGGCCCCAAGACAGCCCAAGAGGGCCCCAAGACGGCCCAAGAGGCGCCCAAAGCGGCCCCAGCGGGGCCAAAGACGGCCCCAAGAGCCGCCCAGATGGGGAACCCGAACGGGCATTTCGAGCCCTCGGCTACGAGGGAACTCCAGGAGGCCCCCAAGAGGCCCCCAACAGGCCCCCAAGAGGCACCAAAAGGCCCCGAGGCCCCCAACAGGCCCCCTAAGAGGCCACAAAACTGCTCCCAAGAAGCCCCCGAGAGCGCGCCAACGAGACCGAAGAAGCGCCCCTGATAACTCTGACCCTGAAACAAGGCAAGGTGGCGCGATGGGTCGAAGGCCATTAAGAAAGGTATGGCAGATAGGGCATGTGAATATATACATACATATACACATATATAAGCATCTATCGAGCGACCCATATAGATGCCTATAGATGTGTGTATATGTGTGTATGTGTGTGCATGTCTACAATTCCCATATGTGTAAAGCTGTAGATAGACCGACAGACCGATATACATTTACACATGATTATGCAAGGTTGCAGGTATATCACTATATACAAATGTCGAGCATGAGTTGTACATGCAGCTATGTAGACATGTGTGCTGATATGCATATATACATCACAATTATGTAACGTTAGACACATAACTAGGTATGACACTGTGTAAATATGAAGACACGTAGATCTACAAATATATGTGTCTGCATTATGGTACATACATACGTGTCGATACATAGACGTGTATACACATGTTGGTATATAGGTATGTAAGTGTATGCATATATGTGTGTATAGACATGCAGACATACATACAATCATGTTGCCATGTTCATATATAAAAGTATACGACGATAGAAGATGTACGATGGTACCTATGACATATGCATGTATGTCATACCGTCTTCTTCCTCTCCTCATCTCAACTGCTCCTGTCTCGTCCCCCTCCTAAATCTCCCCAGGCTCCGCCCTCCTCATCGCCCCTCCTCTTGCCGCTCCCGAATCCTCCTTGTCGTCCCAACTCCTTCGTCCTCTTCCTGCTGCCCCTCTTCCACAAATGTCACCGTCCTCCTCCTGCATTCTCCTCCTCCTCCTCCTTTTCTACCTCCTCCTTCCTTCGCCCTCCACCTCCTTCTCCTGCTCCTCCTTTTCCTCCTCGAACGCGTCAGTCTCGCCGAACCGTCCTCATCCCACATCCTGACCGTCACTCGCGATCCACATATCCCAGAGTCGCTACTCACCCTCGCCCTTCTCCTGCTTCTCCTCGTTCTTCCTTCCCTCCAACCTCAGACAAGACTTTCACCGCACTCCCCCCTGACCGACGAAAATCCGCTCAAACCAATCTCCAGTCGAGCTGTGTGCGACCCCGACAACGAGAATCTCTGGTGGCGCCTGGTAACTGCCGAAACGACGGTTCGCGTCGTGGCCGACGTCGACGTCGTCTTGGCCATCAGGATCGGCCCCCGACCTCTCTGGCGGTGCGCTCGAGTTCTGACCAGAAACTCGAACAGGTCAAACAGGATCCAGCCGCAGCGACGAGAAGGCTGCCAAAGGCCAACAAGGGACGACAGAGTCTCAAAAACCTTTTATCTGCCCTCTTGTGTCTCGGGCGCACGCCAACATGGATTACGGATCCGTGGACTTGGCGCGTGGGCGCACGATCCACGGATCGGGAATTGCACCCCCCGCAGAACATGAAGCCCGTGCCGCCTCGTTTGGTGACGGAGCGCAGCGACGTCGCATGGCGACGGCACCCGTCGCCAAACCACGCGCCCTAATCGATGCTCCCGCTCCCTCGAAGGATCGACCCTGACTGCACTCATCAGCTAGACCCCCGAGGCCATGCTTTTGCCACGGCGTGGACCCCCGGAGGCCTCGACCCGTCCCCTGGGACCGGCTGCTCGTCCTCGGCGAGGGCCCCCAGCGGCCGAAACCACCACAACACCATCCGCCGTGATCTCTTCACGGTGCGAGGGGGTCTGGAGGCTGCGGGCCTCCCGCTGCCTTCCCGTCTCCCGAGGCGGCCCGAGGGCCACGTTGTCGTCTCAGAGATCTTCGCTTGTACAGAATTCATGAATTCGATGGCCCCGGGGCAGGAGGATCGCCGCACCTACACATGCATACATGCATACATGCATACATGCATACATGCATACATGCATACATGCATACATGCATACATTCATGCATGCATACATACAGACATGTACAAATATATATTTATATATATATATATATATATGCATGTGCATATACCTATACATACACATATACGTGTACATGTACACCTACACATACATATGCACCTGCATATACATATACACATACATGTCCATACCCATATACATAAGCATGTGCATACATGTATATGTGTACACATACATGTTCATATACACATGTAGTTGCACCTAGATGTACACAACCATAAACATGCATATACGTACATGTATATACGTACATGCATACGCACATGCATACAAACATACATACATACCAGCACACATACATGCATGCATACATACATGCATGCATGCATACATGCATACCTGCACATACGTACATACATGCATAGACATGTACATTCATACATACTGACATACAAAACACATGCATACATATGCACATGCATACGTACGTACATCCATAGATACATGCAGACACACATACATACATATGTACATACATATATACATACATACATGCATACACCCATATATATAGTATATATATACTATAGTTGGCTATACACATGTATGTGGGGCTGAGAAGCCCGCCCAGACGGAAGAGCACTAGGCCCGGGGCCTCCCGAGGCGGGCCAGGGCTCTGATCACCCCAGGCCCCCTTCGAGACGACCTCTGGGCACCCCCTGGAACGCTCTCGCCGAGGCGCAGCTGCTGGAGCGAACCCCGAGGATTGACAAAAACGCCTAGACACGGAGCGGAACGCCAGGCAGAACACCTCGAGCCTCGAAGGCTGTCCCTCCCCCCGAGCCTATGCCCCCCCTGACGTTGTCCCAAAGCCTATCTCACCCTGGGCCCATCATCATGTTGCATCCTCGGGGGACCTTGTCTGTCCCGTCGCGGCCACATCCGCGTCGAATCCGTGTCGAATCCGTGTCGGTCTCGTCGGATCCGCGTCGCATCCGTGCTGTCGAATCCACGTCGAGTCCACGCCCAATCCGCGTCGAGTCCGCATCGGGCCCGCGTCGGGCACAAGAACAGATACCGATCTGGGGGACAGGCGAGGCCCCCCGAAGATTGAGCAGGGACCGACCGTCCCGGCAATCCTATAGTCCTACCACGAAATGCTGCTAGAACCCAAACATGTTCTAAGAACAAAAACCATGTTCTCATAACCTGAAACCGATGTGACAAAACGAGACACTCCCAACCAGAAATGCTCTGAGAAAATTTCGTGGGAGCCACAAAAGTTTCTTAGAACATTGTTTGGCAGGACTGTAGGCACGCCAAGACGCTTCGCCACTGCTTGAGCCAGCTGCACGCAAGAGTGACCCTGGGTCAGAGTGACCTTTGGTGCGCGGCTTTTGGGGGGCCGCGGGGGTGCCAAACACAAGCGCACAAGACGCTACTACCGCATCGCGTTCGGCGATCGGGGGACCCCATTGGGCCCGCACCCAAAGGTCACTCCGGCGAAAGGTCGCTCTTACGTGTAGTCGATTGAGAAGATGCAACGCGACCGTCACCCCTTCACGTTGCCCTGGATGCACGCGGCGGACGTCTCTCCGGCCGGCGGGGTCCAAGCCCGCCGGCCGGGCGCCGCAGCCGCGCACCGCTGGAGGCGGCCGAGGGAGCAGCAGGGAGATCGAGGAGGCGGCGTGGGAAGAGGAACAGGAAGAGGAGAAATAAGGGGAAGAGGAAGAGGAAGAGGACGAAGAGGAGGAGGAAGAGGAAGAGGGAGAGGAAGAGGAAGAGGAAGAACAAGAGGAGGCCCATGCAGACCCACTCGCGTCGTGCAACAACAAAAAACAACACGGCGGGATTTGTGGCTGTCGTTTTTTCTGCCGGGGGGGGTCCTTCCCGGGCCCCGGGGCCTCCCAAAAACGGCTTGGCGTGAAAAGGAGGTCTAGGGGAATGAGTCGAGACCTCTACGGGTCCGCGTTCGAAAAGCACACGATCTCGCGGGGCTGCATGGGGGAGGAGGAATAAGAGGAGGAGGAGGAGGAGGAGGAGGAGGAGGGAGGAGGGGGGAGGGTGAGGAGGTGGAGGAGGAGCAAGAGGAGAGAGGAGGAGGAGGAGGAGGAGGAGGAGGAGGAGGAGAGGAGGAGGAGGAGGAGGAGGAGGAGGGTGAGGAGGTGGAGGAGAAGGAGGAGAAAGAGGAGGAAGAGGAGGAGGAGCAAGAGGAGGAGGAGCAAGAGGAGGAGGAGGAGGATCGGCCCACCGAGGGGGCGCGGTCGTGGCCAGAGACACGCCGCGGCCCTTGTGACCGAGCCTTCTACTTCGGGCGTGCACGCTTGGCTTTGCCTGCTTTAAGGGGCTGAATGGGGTCCCCAGAGGGCCAAATCTTGGCCGAAACACTCGGTGGCTGGCAATTCGCTAACCTACGCAACGCCTCCCGTCCACTGTCAGTGCCCACACCACCTGGGCAAGGGACGGGGAGTTGGTTGAGCCTACCACCTCCAGTGCTCGTGCAGCTGCCGAGCCTCGCGCACGTCGTACACCAAAGCTGACCATTCATAATTAGCATCGAATGGGTCGGGTGTATGACTTTACCTCCAACTGTAAGTGAGGGTACGCAGAGGGCGGGATGGGCAGGGGCACGTCATAACAAGAAACAAACGCTCTACCTTTGCACGGGTGGGCCTGCATCCAGTTCTCAACGGCTTCTCGCGTGGGGCCAAGCTTACAATGAAAACAGAACCAGCGTTTCTTGTCCTTTGGGTGCTGCTGCATACAGTGGCCCGTGGCACGCCCAAGCACCCGCTGAAGCGCAACTATCTTCACAGGCCTGCGGCGGGTGCGCACACCCAAAGGACGCTGGTGCTTGACCCTGGGGAGCGAGTTGACAGCCGTAGCAACAGCGGCAAGACGCTTGTGGACCCGTTGCAGGAGAGCTTCATAGTCCTTCAAAGAATCTAATTGAGGCTGGATCAAATTCAAGGCTTTCCCGAGGCCGCGTTGGGCCAGGGCGTCAGCTCGTTCATTACCTAGTGTTACAAACCAGGGCTGGGAAGCTACGCTCAGGCTCACGGCGTCGAGATGGGAGTTACACTTCTTCACGCTGACATTGGAGATCCTGTCGGGCCTCTGGAGGATAGCCTGCTTGATCCGCTGCCACCACTGCATATGGGGACCTGGAGGGTAAAGCCACAACCGAGAGTTCCAACCACGGTGCACTAGGGCATTGTCGGTCCAGATCTCGAGGGCCACCTGGGTGTAGAGGAGACAATAATACAGGCCAGCCAATTCAGCGCAGGGAGCCGTCTGACGGCCGTCGATGGTGCCGAAAAGCCCAAGAAAAACGATCCGCCGCAGGAGACCTGTCGAAATCGAGAGCGGCCCCCCAGCCTCCACGAGCAATACGGGCATCTGCTGAATTGACGGAGACGTCGAGGTAGGCCCTGCAGGCCTGGATCGGGTAACCGCTGATGCAAGAGTAGCCCTCGAACTGGGGCACCTGGATTGGCATGTCGACGTCGTAGACGACCTGGGCCTCATTCCATTCTGGGGCCTCTGGAACCTTGTTGAGCCTGGCTGGCAAGATACCACGGCACCAGAACATCTTCATATCAGGCTCAGCACTCACAGACTGAGCAGCTCTGTTCTTGAGGTCCTGGGTGCGGCGGATCCAGTCATGGTCGATGTCATCATTTTTCTCGCACAGGTAGCAGCGGTGCAGCAAGTCCTCAGCTGCCTCTCCACAGCGCGGGCACAAGGCTGGACAAACGTAGCCCGCTGCGGAGGTGCGCTGAGCAGTCCAGCAACTCCCAGTGACGATGTTCTCCAGCGCGCCCGCTTCCTTGAAGAACTTCTTGCGTCTCATCCAGCGCAAGGTGCGCTGCGTCGCTTGAAGATGACCTCCTTGTTCACAGCCAAGGCCCTCAGGATGTTGACCAGCTTGCTTCCACAGGTCGGCTTCAACGCGGGCATGCACTGCATCGAAGAGGGAATTCAAATATGTGTCGCCGGGGTTGTAGGTCCAATCATTGCCATCTGGGTCCGTCCAGCGGTCAGGGTGACGAAGTTGCCAGCCAATCTCGCCCATGCCGACGATCAGGGCAGCCATGGGCCCTGTGACCGACCGCCACTTGGACTTGGCACGGATCTGGGCCATCTTGGCGCACACAGCCTCCCACCCCAACCGAACTCGAGCTTGGTACGGTTCTTGTTGCGCCCAGAAGGTGAACCACTCCGTGGTCTGGCGTCTGAGATTGAAAGATCGCGGGTCCTGCTTATCGTAGATGTGGAGCATGATGGTCGAAGTGCATCTGCCACCCACTGTAAAGCCTGCCGTGGTAGCTGCCGTAGCTCGTTCCTGCTTGACTCGGGTAGCAGGCAGTCCCGTGACGGAGGCGTCGTAGATCCTCTTGGCCCGAAGGTTGGCGGTGTATAGCCTTGCTGTGGCTTTGCGTCCGACTCCGCGCTTCTGGAAGATCTGTGCCCGTCGGAAATTCTTGGCTGTCGCTCTGGCTCTCTTGGCCGCAGTAGGAGTACGCCGTGACCCACCCACCGTCGAGTCGAAGCCGAAGTCTCTGGTTGTCTTGGCTGCTCGGATGTTGACGCCAACCTTGCGGATTGAGTTGGTAACTGCCTGCTGAACTGAGCGGTGGCCTATGATGACGGTCTTCTCAGAGACCTTTAGTCCAAGCTTCTGAATTCCGTCGACGAGAGCTGCCGAGCCTTTTTCCATTTGGTGTCGTACAAGGGAACGGTGTCCTTCTGCCCGCACCATGAGGTCGTCCACGAACTCTCGCATCATGAGGCCCTGGTAGCGCAAGTGGACATGCTCCAGCAGGTCGTATAGGTATGCCCTGGCCATGTTGTTCGCCTCTGTACATCCAGCGAGTAGCCCATTGTGGGACAACAGCAACAGAACTGTAGACATCTCGGACACGAATGATGCGTGGGCTGAGGTAGAACAGGCAGGACATATACAGCACCACAGGTGAGAAGTCCAACTTGGTGGCGAGGACGCACAGGAGGCTGATGTCCACATGGCCGTAGAACTTCATAGTGTCCAGGAACAGGGTGGCCACATCTGTGTCACCCCGCACGGCTGACACTTCATCCAGTATGAGCGTCGTGAGCGCCGCCTGCAGTGACGAAGATCCTTTGATGGCTTTATCCCAGAAGCCAACCTTGGCGTCGCACCACTGGCCTGTGAGGTACCGATTCATACGTCCCCAGACCCTGGCTGGCATGGGTAGCAAACCTATGGGCCTTTCATCGCCCGTGGTTACCGCTTCGCCTTTGGCAAGGAGACAAATCCAGATCTGCATGAGCTGGTGGGGCCAAGATAACCTGTGGACGCAAGAATTCAACAACTGAACAAACTCCTGTTTCGCTTGCTGGCTGACCGCCTGGAGCGACGCACGTGACCATTGATCTGCGGACTGCGCCGTTTGCAGCGGAATGCTTCTGAGAGCAGCTTGGAGATCGTCCATGGTGTAGTCGACCCAGTCCGTGTGAAGCTGCTCGCGCGCCTTGCGGTGCAGGGCATTCATGCCGTCGGCGAGGTCGCTGCCTGCCGAATGTGTGGTCCATCGCTCTTGCCACTTGGCTGCCCTGGCATCGACAGAGCCCTGAGGGTCGCCAATGACCTGGTGGTTATGGATGGCGGTGTCTAGCAGGTCCTTCTTCTCGGCCTTCGAGATATAGCGATGTGCTCCTTTAAGGCTGCCCTGCAGAGCTGTTTGGGCCCATTCCCTCACTGAGATCTGCGTTGCTGTCCATGTAGCCTTGGGGTGCGCCTCAGAGAAGGTGCGGGACTTGGCGAGCACATCGGAGATTACATCTGAGGTCGGGTACATCTGATCATATCGGACTTGATGGAGGATCGTACTGAGCTCGTCCAGTAGTGCCATCTCACCTTCTGGGCAGTCCTGGGGGGCCTTTGTCCTCATCTTCTGCACCGTGTCCACCATGTTGTCCAGGAGCTGCCTCGGACCTGCAGGAGGGCCAGGCTGGTCATGGGGCTCTGCGTCATCCGAGGCCTGGTCGTCTTCAGATCGCCGTCCATCATCCTCGGGCGGCGCTCCGTCTTGCAGGAGATCTCGAAACATCTGACGCGCTCCGACGCCGATCTCCCCAGGGCCCCTATCAGTCTCGTGAGGCTTACTCCCAAGATGCCCACGAGACCCACCCAAGCCTTCCGCAACGTTGGCAACTGTCGGAGCTTGGCGCGACAGCGAGCATCCGATATTAGAGTGTTCTGGCCGCTCTGCGTCTCGCAGACGTCCTCGTGGTAGAGGATGCGGCTCGCCTGGCTCCTCAGGCTCGCGCTGCAGCAGCTCCAGGTAGTCGAAGCAGTCGATGTCGTAGTTGATCGCGTCGAAAGGGTCCGCCTCTTCGTTGTCCATGCTGGTGACGGCTGGCCACGGTGTTGTGCACGTCGGAGCTGAAGATACGGCTTGGTCTGGAAATTGTAGTCGGCTGCCGAAGGGGATGTCAGTCCAGGGGTAGCACTGGTAAGACGGCGTGCGTGCAACCATGCGCGCAATAAGGTCATCCAGTACCGTGTCAGCAGCTTGGTGGTCTCGTTGGTGATCAGTCTTGGGCCTGATGGTGCCGATGTTCGCTTCAGTCTGCGATTGGCGTCGCTCGCACTGTTTGACGAAGACTAGGAGCTGGCTGGTGAGACTGATCCAGGCGTTGGTCTCGAGCTGCTTGGTGCCTGCTTGGATGTACATGGGGTCGGGCTGGCGTATCATCTGCTCGAGCCGATAGCGTAGCGGCTGTCCTCTACGGCGCCCGTCGCTGATCGGCATGGCATCCGTCAGGTTGAGTAGAGAGGCCTCCGCGGCCATGGCCCATCTGCCGTACGACTCCGCAAGGTCCCTAGCTGCGGCCGGGTCGAGTGCGTAGGCTATGCACTGCTGCGTCTCTGAACTGGCCTCCAGGATTGGGATGTCCTGGGCCTGATGCTTGTAGTTCTCCCAGGCTTCATGGTCGACGATGTACGGTATCTTTTTGACGTAATGGACTTGTAGCAGGTGGTCATGCACATCGCCGACATGTTCCAATACCTCGCCATCTTCAGTATGGTGGAGCTGCGCATGGCGGTGACGATCATTCTGCTTCCTCTTGAGCCCTTTCTCAATGTGAATCTCGTGGTCTGGGATCTCAATGGGAGCTGGGAGGAGAGGACGAGCGCACAGAACAGCAGCGGGCCTCGAGTGCATGCGGATCTCGATGCCCACGTGCGGCTGCCACGGAACGTTATAGACAGGCTCGACGGACTTGACGAGCGGCAGGAACGTTGGCGAACATAGACCCCAATCTACCCTGAGCTTCCCGCGCAGGTGAACTCGCAGTTGGGTTGAAGATACTCAGCCGCAAAAGCTTCGTGCCAACACGAGGCCCTGAACTGCTTTGGAGTGTTGTTGAAGTCGCCGTAGACCATCCACGGCGTGCCCAGCGTGCACACGAGCGTGAGCAGCTGGTTGAGCTTGGAGATGTTGGTAGGGAGATCCAGCCCTTTGGGGTCCGAGGTGAGGTAGATAGTGATGAAGGCGACCGTAACGTGCTTGAGGCGGACCATGGTGATTGCAATGTCATGGAGCTGCTGGCACAGTAGGTCATCGCCACACCCCGTGGCTAGATGCGGAAATGTGTTGAGTTACCTCGCTCGCGCCCAGAGAGCTCCCCCAGAGCTGCCCTTTCCCGACGTCGGCGTGGCTGGTGCCGTAGTATACTCAGTGCGCCACCCCATGCCTCTGAGGTGCCGCTGCTCGTCCTCAAGCTGCTTGCCATACAGGTGGGTTTCCACAAACCCCATGAAGTCGTATGGCGCGTCCCTGCAGAACTCACGGACGGCGTATGAAAAGTTACTGATGTTCGCATAGAAGACGCGCAGGTCGCGCGTCGCCAGGCGCTGGGAGCGTAGGTCAGGAACACTGCTGACTCGTGCCCTTGCCCTCGCCCACGCCCTTGGTGGCTGCCATTTGAGCTGCACGTACACGGGTCTTCTCGTCCACGAACCGCTTGACTTCCTCTGCGTTCGTGAAGTCGTACTTGTTGGCTGTTGGCACTGGAGCAGCGGCTTCTTCGTTCTGGACGGCGTCAGTGGCTGCAGGGGCACCGCGGTGGTCTCCTTCGTCCTTCTTGCGCCTCTTGAGGGTGATGGTCTCGCGGTGCTTCTTGGCGGTGGCGACCGCATCACGAGCTTGCTCTCCAGTGCGGCGGTGGTTCTCCATGGCCTTCTTGGCCTTCTCGTGGATTGACTTCGCTTGATCATAGGCTGCGCGTTCTTCAGGGGCCAGGAGAGCCAGATCGCCTTCTTCCAGCACGGGGAAATCATATTCGCCTTCCTCTGCGGTCGGAGTAGGTGGTGGAGGCTCTGCCCTACAGGTCCGAAGAAGAGTTGAAAGGCGTTCCACTTCAGCTGAAACCTGCTGGGTCTCGTCGATGTTTCTGGTGAGCTTCTCAACCAATTCGTCTTGCCAGGCCGCTGCTCGCTGGAGCTGGGACTTGAGGCGCTCTTGCTGGCCTTGGAGTCTGCGCAGGATAGCGGCTGCGTCCTCCAGCTGCTTGATCGTGGGCTTGGCTGGTGGCTGACTGGGCGCTGGGGCGCTTGGGAACTTTTCTGCCAGCATTCGAGCTCCCTCCTCATCGCCCTTTTCTTTGAGGGCTTCCACTGCCTTCTGCATGGTGGCTGCGGCGGCGGGGTCCACAGGCGCTGTGTCCAGCTGGAAGCGCACCACGGATCCTGGGCGTAGGAGAGAGGTCCAGTCGTAGATGCCACACTTGTTACATTTCTCCCGTCCTGGCTTGAGCGCCTGAGTCTTCCAAATCCAGCTGGTACCAGGAGGGCAATGAGGACAAACCAGATAGTCATTTTTGCGCCTGCTGGCTGGCGATTGTGAACGGGGCTTGCCCTTCGGGTCCTTGGACCTCGGGCGGACCATGTCGTAGCCGTTGTTCTGGCCGTACTCCAGCGTCCCCACGATGGAGCAGCTGGCCAGAGAGAAAGATGAATCCCAGGGATATCGCTGGCTCGGCAGAGCCACCCCTCAAGTCGGAACAAAAGTGTGCTGCACGCGGGCTTGCGCACAGCACCAGTTGTGGTGCCGACCCTGGGACTTTCGGTATGCAGAAACGCGCTGGCGGACCTGCAAGCCGAAATATACTTGAGGGGAGGAGGAGGAGGATGAGGTGGAGGAGGTGGAGGAGGGGAGGAGGTGGAGGAGGAGGGTGAGGAGGAGGAGGAGGAGGAGGAGGAGGTGGAGGAGGGGAGGAGGAGCAAGAGGGTGAGCAGGACGAGGAGGATGGCCCAGGCCTCCAGGAGCACAGCCTCCGAGCCCGTCCGCCGCCTCGGCCGCCGGGCCCCGAGGCCCTGGCGCCGCGACGCCCGACATCGCTGGGCGCTCTCGCCCTAATACAATAATATTCCCTAGGGGGAATATCCAAAAATAGTAATTAAAAAATATGGCGACGATCTTCATATTCTTGTGGGGCATCTTTTGGATATGTTTTGAGCATGTTTTGTTCTTCGTCCCAAATCCCCCTGTAGGGGGACAGGCCCGACCTGACCCTTGCGCATCGATCCGGCTCGAGAACAGGAGCGAGCAAGGGCGACGCCAACACCACCACGGGAGGGGGGAGGGGAGCAAGAAGGGGTCTCCCTGGTGGTGCGGTCCCGCCTCCAGCCTCCCGCTCGGGGAGGCATCGTGGGCCTCCTCGCTGGAGGTGGCCCCCCTGGTGGCGTTGGTGGCGCTTCTCCTCCCTCCGACGAGAAGTGCCGACGAAATCGGGCGGGTAGTAATGGGGGTGACCCACATGGGGGATGAAGCGAAGGGCCCTACAGGGGCCTTTTTCTTCATCCCCATTTAGGCCACCCCCCAGTCCCGAAAGATGGAGTCGAGGCCTCCGGTCGTGACGCCCCACGATGTGGCATTCTGCGACGTCGGATGTCCCCAAAGATCATACGGCACACCTTCTTCGATGAGGGGTACCCGGAAGTCCCGACCCTTCCCCGGGGCCAACTTCGCATCCTGACTCGTTACTCGACGGCCTCCGGGCCCCATATACGGGCCCCCAAAGGCCGAGCATAGCAGCCCACAACAACTTCCGTCATTTCATTGTGTGTTCACGGCAAGGGGATGTCAGGGTCAGCGAACAAGTTGTCCATGTGAGGAACGGCCCAAGAAACCAGAGCCTCTCCTAAATCCTTCCTTCAATCTTGGCGGTGGGTAAGGTGTAGCTGGAACATAGTCTCGAGCGGAAACCACCCAATGCTGGAGCTGGCTCCGGGGCTATTCATCGCCAGCTCCCGGCAGTTCGTGCTGCTCGGGGACAGAGTGAGGCGAGAAAAGAAGGGAGCAGGCAGACGACAGCGAGCAGACGACAGCGGGACGCTTGACCAGGCAGGGGGACGGGCAGGCTGGAAGAGACGGAGGAAGATAGCAGGGCACAGACCCCCGACGTGGTGATCTCTTCGTGACCTGAACACCCAGAGACGGTCTCGACCCCTTCCCCAGACAAGCTTTTCATCCTCAGTCGTGTTTGACGGTCCCAGGGCCTGGAGAGGGCTCGCAGAGGCAGAAAACAGCAACGACTTGTTCACAACCCGAGGGGGGTCTGGGGGTGATGGGGAGACGGAGGAAGCGGAGAAGGCAATGGGAACCGAGGCCAAATTTCGTGGGCGCCTTCCACTCTCGCTGGGCCTCCAGGATCCGCCTCTTGTCACCACGGCCGCACCGCCGGTGAGGTCCTCAGATTCCGATCGTGATGGGGAGGGGACCCAGACATCCAACGTCTTCAACAGATCGAGACAGCTCCCCGACAATCAGAACACAAGTTATCAGCCCAAGGGAGTGGGTGGGGCCTTCAGCCTTCAGGGGACCCCGCACTTCCCGAAAGATGACATCAGAGGCATTCGGGAAACGACGTTTTCAGCCGAGAGCCCCCTGAAACGGCCCAAGAAGCCCAGGAGGCCCCCAGGAGGCCCCAAGCGACCCCAAAAGGCCCCCGAGAGGCCGCCAAGAAGCGGCCGGGAGGAGGAGGCTCCAAGGAGGCCGCAGGAGAATCCCCAAGAGGCATTCTCCGTGTCTTCATGTTCTACCTATCTTCCTCCTGTTCTTCCTCATCTTCCCTACCACACGGACGAAGACGAGGTCGAACTCACGATACGCCTCAGTTGAAGTTCAGACCGCTCGCTGAACTGCGGCAAGGCGCGACAGCGACTTCCCCCCCTAAAAAGTGACGAAGACGAGATCGAGCTCACGACCCGTCCCAAGTCAGAACAGTCGTCGGAATTACGCCGCTCCTACACTCAGTTTCCTTCCTGCTGCGCTGTTGCACAGGCGCGGTGGCGGGGTTTACCGCAGGCAGCTGGATGCGAGGGCCGAGAACCAGCTGGGCCGTCCAGGAGCCGCACCCCGAACGCGTTGTGTACACCGCGTCGTGGGGCCCTCGAGACCCTCCCCCCCCTCCCTCCCAACATCGCATGTGTTCCGTGACGTGGGCCTCCGGGCAGGAAACCACATGTAAACCCGACCCGTGCGAGTCAAATTTCTGAACAATCCGCTGCGGTTCTGAATCTGCAGGACGTCTGCAGCCACGTGAATGCCAGCGGGGGAGTCTGGCACCCTAGAAGCACATTGGACTGGCAAGGGGTGGAGTTCGCAAGTGGTCGCAGACCAGGAATCTCGACCCTTCCACGGGGCCACTGTTACCATCCCGAGACTGTTTTCAAATGGCCCCGGGACCTGGCAACGAGCTCCAGGGAGCCCCGGCATTGCCAACATCCTCCCGTCACTGTTTGTTGGCGCACGAGGGGGTTCGCGAGAAGATCGACGTGGCGCAACCGATGGAAACCGATTTCCATCGGCCGTGCCGTGTCGAAAGCCGAAAATTTGCACGCCCGAGATACGTACAATCGGACCCAAGACAGAAAAACAGCCCTCAAGAATGTGAGACTCTCCGCAGGCCGAAAAACACACAGAACATCCAGGGGCATCCTCCCCAGGATGCACCATCACGTCCAACAAACACGAAGAGCCTTAGGGCCCCCTCCCCCCTCCCCGAACCGACCTCGATCTCATACGGGCGGAACAAGGCCACAAGAACATCGGACAAGAACATGAGACCCTCCGCGGGCCAAAGTACCCCAAACCATAAGGACGTCGAGGACGCCCTTTCGAGGACGCCCTACCGTACCTCGGCCCGACTGTACGTAAAGCACTGGGCACGATGCCCATCCGCAAGCGCTGGCCCCAACCAGCGGCCAGCTCGTCTCGACGCAACTGGCCGCGGCCCGAACGCCGCGCCTCCCCCCCTCGTCCTCGCCATCCTCCCCCTGCTTCTCCTGTCGATGCTCCTCCTCCTCCTCCTCCTCCTCCTCCTCCTCCTCATACTGCTCATCCTTGTCCTCCTCCTTGCCCTTCTCCTCCTCGAAATCCTTGTCTTCCTCCTTGTCCTCCCTTTCTCATCCTCGTCGTGGTCGTATCCTGGTCAGAACCCGCTCCAGGACAAGCCAGGGAGGGGGGTGGGGGGGGGGGGGGAATTCTGAGGGTGGGACAGGGGGGATGAGCGAGAGGGGGGAAGAGAGGGAAGCGGGGCAGAACATGAGAGGGGAGGGCAGGGCGAGTGGCACTGCACATCTACTGCATGAGTCGCAACTCGAGCGACGGAATACGTCGCGCTGCACCCCTGCCTAGCAGGCTACACACGGCACGATAGGTATGCACATTACGGAGTCTTGCGCAACCAACAAGTCTGCGACACCAACTGCTGATGTCGCTTCGAACGGCGCTGAAAGTCAGCGACAGCGCCATTGCTTTATCAGGTGTTTACTCAGCGCCACATGCTGCGATAACGCTGAATTGTGCATAATCGCAGTCTGGCCGTGCCGGCGGGCGGACAAATATAACTCGAACAAGAGAGGGAGATGTGAAATAATCTTGGCTTAACCAAATTACTCGAACGACTGCGCTTATGCATGTGGGTGCGTGTGTACGGACGCACGTGCACACCCCCGTTACATGTGAACTGATTCCTTGCGTGGTGCAAGCAAGCCTGCAAGTACACATTCTGCAGGCAAGCACACATTGTGCAATAACGACGCCATGTCCAACAGGCGCACATGCACATGCAAACAAACACTGACAACGCATGTAAGGTTGAAAGGTGAAGCATCCGCCAGCGCACGTGCAGCGGCTGTTGTGTGTGACTGTGTGTGTTGTGTGTGGTGTGTGATTGTGTGTGTGTTGTGTGGGTTGTGTTGTGTGTTGTGTGTTGTGTGTGATTGTGTGTGATTGTGTGTGTGTGTGCGTGCGTGCGTGCGTGCGTGTGTGTGTGTGTGTCCGTCCAGGATAGACTGCGTACTCGCCAACAGGGCCGCTGCCGAACACGTGGTCTCCGCCGGCTTACGCTGGGATCTCGGATTGGCGACGCACGCAGCTTTTGGAGGTGGAGTTGTCGATCGAGGCGCCCGAGGTGGCTGCCGTGCGGAGGCGGCCTCTGCCCCCTTGATGGGCCCCCTTCGGACGGGTGGCCCGACGCCCGACAGGCTGTCACCGACGAGGTGGTCCGAGTGCATGGGCGGCCCCTCCAGGCCGCCCTCCGCGACGGCAACATGGCGGCGGCGTGGGGCCACGCTCGAGGCCGCCATGCGCCAATGGCTTGGCCGTCGAATGAGTTACCTTCTGCCGCCCGAGCGGCGGCATGCCTACGCGAGGTGGCAGGACTGCCAGCCCCGCACCACTGGCGCGTGCGGCGAGGCGCGTGACAAGGCCGCGGATTCTTTGTTGCTCCGGATGCGGCGCCTCCGCTCCATGCAGCACGCCGCGCGGCGGCGGGGCCTTGGCTGCCAGCCCGCGCGGGCGGTGGCCTCAGCACTGCGCAGGGACGAGCCCGCTGGGAGCGCGTGGATGGCAGACCTGCGGGGCCTTACTACCGCGCCGGGCCTTCTGGCCAGCAGCATCGCACGGGCTGAGGCGGAGCATCAGGAGGCGCAGCAGGCTGCACGTGCACGCCGCCTCGACTCTTGGCAGGAGTGGGCCCGGCAGGCGCTGGCAAGCGGAGGCGGGCGATTGCACCGCTGGATCCGGGCAGACAGCGCCCTGTCTGCCGCCCTCGTGCCCGCCCCGCATGGTGACGAGGAAGGTGCAGCTGGTGCGCGGCACGGGGGTCGCCTGTGGTGCCGCTCCCTCCGCGGCGGCGCGGCTGCCCAGCTCGGGTGCTTCGAGCACCGCGGGGATTCCTTGTGGCAGCGGCGCGCCCCGGCGCCGCCCGACCTCGAGCACTGGCTGATGGAGCTCGATTCGTTGCCGCCCTTCCCAGAAAAAGTTCCGTGGACGGCCGCGCTGGTCCGCTCGCCCACAACGGCGATGGCGAAGCGCAAGGCGCCCGGCCTCGAGGGTTGGACAATGGCAAAGCTCCGTCTGCTCCCTTCCGAGCTCCTGGAGTGGGTCGCGGAGCTCCTCGAGGCAGTGGAGCGCCTAGGCCGATGGCCCGACGAACTCTGCCAGCCGGAGGGCCTGCTGCTGCCTAAGGCTGGCGACGGCGGGCCCATGGACCGCCGTCCAATCTGGCTTCTCCCCATGCTGCACCGCGCATGGGCTGCAGGGCGGGCGCAGTTGTTTGCGCGATGGCGCTCGCCGTGGGGCGACGGCGACGGCAACGCCGGGGCCGAGGAGCTCGCGCGGGACCTCGTGCTGGAGCTCGAGACCGCGGAGGCCGCGGGCGAGGCCATCTGTGGCAGCGCCCTGGACTGGAGGAAGGCTTTCGACCACGTCAGCCTGCAGCTCCTGGAGCGAATGCTGACTCGCGCAGGCGTCCCTGATTAGGAGCCAGGAAAAAAACACAAAGGAATTTCACACAAAGGGTTTTGGCACCACCAACGGTGCAACGCATATGCACACATGCCACTGGATCCCCACCGACCCGAACACGGCCGTGCTCTAGGATGCAGTTGACATCTATGGCGTGGCAAGATTGTCGGCAGCGACAACATCCCAAGATCCGCTACCAACAAACATTCCATGGTGGTTTGGTACAGCCAAACCACCGTGCAACGTCAGTTTGTTCATCCGTTGACAACAGCACGCGTCGCGGCAGCAGAACGCAGTAGTGCGCGCGGGCATGCAGGGCCGGCGATGTGGCTGGCCAGCTGCCAACGCGCATTCGGCAGATGAGCCGAAATCCACGTAGGATCGTTTTGGGCGTGGTATCTGGCGCAGCTGCATCGCACTGCCAGGCGCCGCGTCCTTGCGATTGTAGCGGCAGGCCCCGTGCGCTCCTCGAGGCGGGAAAGCAAGCTCTACACAAAGGAATCGCGCGTGCTCTTGTGGGGGCGGCGAAAACGATCGTACACAAAGGAAATTCCTTTGTGTCCCCCCCGCGTTGGCAATGTACCCAGACCATACACAAAGAAATTACGCGAGACTTCGTGGCACACAAAGGAATTACAGCAACGCTTTTTTGGTGGTGCCTTTTCGCGCGCGGTGACAACTCCGAGCTGGAAAGGAAGGGGGGCGGGACAAGGCAAAGCAGGGGAAGAGGAAAAGGAAAAGGAGGGCGAGAAAGAAGCGAAGGCAGCAACGGAAGGAAGCCAGGATGCGCGCAAGCGAAGCTAACGCTGCGCGCCGAGACAGTTGTTCGTTTGTTCGGTTGGCCGTGCGGCAGATGAATAGAACAAGAATTGGTTGCTGCATATCGAAGGGACGTCTTGGGAATGAGACTCGCGCTCTCTTCCCAACCCCCTTTTCCCACGCCCCGTTGCGAGCGCGCGACGATTTGTTCTGGCCCGCGGACAGAGGACTGCCAGTTGCTGGTGAGCGGCCTTTCCACCCGTCACGCGTTCCGAACAAATGCGACCAGCTAAACGCGCTTGCCACGCAAACCGCCAGCTCCAAACACCGACGCCACCCCGATCCTCGCATCCGTGCCAGGCACCCTTTCAACGACGCCCCCTTCTGGCGTAAAACCAATAAAACCCTTTGTGTTTATGTGTTTTGTCCTGTTCTGACTGATTGGCTGCGCGGGCCTCTGCTTGCCACCTGCGCGGCGCCTCGTCGGTTGCGCGTCGATGGTGCTCTTGGCTTGCCGTGGACGCCTACCAGCGGCATCCTTCCTGGTTGCGCGCTGGCCGTTTTCGTGCTGAGCGTTTTGGTCAGGCCGTGGTATCTGCGTACCAGGCGTGTGCACGATGGTCTGAGGCGCCGCGTGTACGTTGACGACCACGCGCTGTGGGCGCGTGGCGAACCCGACGAGCCCGCCGAGACTGTCGCAGAGGCCCTGCGGATCACCCGGGCCTACAAGGGCGACATGGATTGGCGGCTGCATGAGGTCAAGAGCAAGCAGCTCGCCAACAAGGCGTCGCTGCGGCGGTGGCTCCAGCGAGAGATGCCACATCGATTTCCGCTGGGACCGAAACCCGCGACCTCGGGGTGGTCGCGGTGGCCGGCAAGCAGCGGAAGCACCCCGTGACTGCGGCGAGGGTGCAGCTGGCGTGCGGCTGCTTCGCTCAGCTCCGTCGCTTGCCGGTGCCCTTCCGCTGGCGCTGCCTGATGGGCGCTGCCGCCGGCAGGGCCGCGGGCACCTACGGGTCGTCCTGCGGGCGCCCTGCTGCCCGCGATTTGGAGCAGCTCCGCCGCGCGGCCAAGGGCGCCGCCCGCCACGGCTCCCGGGCGGCCGCGGAGATCGCGCTCGGCGTGCTCAGCCCCACCTGGCGCCTGGACCCCAAAGCGGTGGTGACCCTCGCGCGAGCGCTTCGATCTGGCCAGCTCGACCTCGCCCTGTGGCGGCGCAGCGCGGCCGCGGCTGTCCACGCGGGGGCCGGGCGCGCCATCGGGCCCCAACCGTTGCCGCCGCGCTGCGCAGCACGCGCGAGCTGGGGCTGGGAGGCGACGTGGAGTGCTGGGGCGGCGTTCCGACGGCGCCTGGCGGCTGGCGCCCCGCTGACCGGCCGTGGAGAGCAACCGAGCGCGTCGTCCTCGCGGCGCGGGCCCGTGCCGAATGCCGCAAGGTCGCGGTCCGCCGGCCGTGCTACGCCCACCTGGCCGACGGCGTGGACCGCTGGGCGACGCGACGTTTGCTCGTGTCTGCGGAGCGCCGACGCCGCCGGAGCGCTGCGAAGCGTCCTATGTGGCAGCGTGGTCACGGAATCCGTCGCGACGAGGTGGAACGGTCGATCGGCGACTTGCCCGCACTGCGGCCTGGCCCCGGAGGACCGCGAGCACCGCTTCTGGGCGTGTCCAGCGTTGGAGGGCAAGCAGCGCGCGGCGTTGGCCGCCGCCTTCACCTCCTCGGGCGCGCTGCCCCCCGAGGTAACAGCCTTTCGCCAGGAGCTGCCGGTTGGGGTCGCCACCACGGGGGCATTGGCCACGCCGCCACGCCTTGCTGCCCTCGCCGACGCCGCCAGCAACGAGGAACCGAGGTTCCCGCCGCAGGCCGAACTGCAGCCCACCACGCCCCGCCGCACTGTCTGGAGCGACGGCGCTTGCATCCATCCGACGGACCCCCTGCTGGCGCGCGCGGCGTGGGGTCTACGCTGCGCACGCTCCGGCAAGCCCAACCTCGGCGGCCCAGTCGACGGGGTGCAGACTGCCCAGCGCGCCGAGGTGGCGGCTGTGGTCGCGGACGCGCGCGCTGTCGGCGATCCCATCGACC